CTTGCATAATTAAACAGCAACTAAAAATGATAGGTTTTACTAAATCTTCTCCTGTGCAATTATTACTAGCATTGGAGACAAGGATAATAGTTTGTTTGAAAGAGAAAAGAACAGGCTTTGAAGTAAGCCTAAAAGCGTTTAACTAGAAATAGTATTTCGAAAGTTATTAAGCACAAAAGATGAATTGCGTTTATTTTGCGTTTATACACCCTGTATATATGTATATATGTATATATATATATATATATATATATATATATATATATATATATATATATATATATATATATATATATATATATATATATATATATATATATATGTTCCTGTGCGCCAAAGAGGTCTCTTTTTTACAAGTTAGAAGGGATGGTATAGCGGTCATGCAAATAACCTAAATTACGTTTTCTACCGTACCTATAAAAGCAGTGTTTGAAATTTAGATGTGTAGTTTTTATATTGGCAAAATGGATCCGGGACAAAATGTACTAGTGGGGTTCATTGGAATGCTGCTCCGAGAATAGTTTGAACATTCAGCCCCTCAGACAGCCAGAAATGAATAAAATTTTCCATTTTTCGCATTGTATTCTCTTTTAACTTGCAAGTTTGTCTGTCAGTGCTTATATAATATACCTAAAAATCAGTTCAAATAACTTCTAAATTTACCTGAAGTCACTCATGACCATGCAATGTTTTTTTTTTGGGGGGGGGGGGACAGGGGGGAAGTGCTACGCACTACACTCACACCCTCGGTCACTATATACCGGCCTGTTTCGGGAAATATCCATTTATTTTTTAATTATTCAGTATTTTTTATTTCATTCCACATAAACTTACATAATCATTATTCATTTCATATATACAGAACATAATACAAACGGTTTATTCCGCGCTTCAATCCCCAATAATAACAAAGGTTAATTAAGGTTAAAAAACGTGTTTAAATCCAAATTAGCTGAAATATATGATCTATTATTGGGGTTCGATTTCCATATTATATTTCTTAGACAAGTTATTATTGTATAATTTTCCTAGATGTTCAGGATTTTTGAACAAAATAAATGTTTGCAAGTACAAGAAAGACGAAAGCCCAACAAATAACGTGCTCTCCAAACGTTCCAGATCATGTGGAGACAACGAAAGGTACATGTGATATTCCGCATAATATTCATGAAAGATCGATCAGACAAAGTAATATGCAGCTCCACCTTCCTAAGGTGAAGACTGAAAGTGCGAAAAAATCTTTCTACTATAATGATTGCATAATATATAATTATATATATATATATATATATATATATATATATATATATATATATATATATATATATATATATATATATATATATATATATATATATATATATATTTATATATATATATATATATATGTATCAGTTTAAATGTTTTTATGAAAATTAGCAGGGCCCCTATTGATACCATGAAGCATGTAGTTCGTGCTGACAGGGTTATTCTGCTTCAAGAAATAAAATTTCTATCCATATCTTATCTATTAAATAATTAAATAATTAACTGTTATCTTGCGAACTCCAGTCGTATATAATTTGACTTCAACTCGAACTCTCAAATTCCCTACATGGCCCCTTGGCCATGGGAAACGTCCTCGCTTGAGTCAGTTTTTTCTATAACCTCGTTATTACGTCATACTGTGTAATATTCTCTACAGAACAATAACACTCTTTTAATACTGTACCTAGGCATAAGACCAATAGACTCGCCAATAGTTTTATTATAGCCGGTAGTAGGCCTAAAAACTTTAACGCCAGTATCTCTTAACCTAAGTGTACTTTTTAGTAGTATATAATTATATGGTTCCTTTGTAGGGTTTGTAAATAGTTTAGCATGCGTATACGTATAGATTCAGATTTGTAAACATTAAACCAATGTAATTCAATCTTTAACTGCAAAATTGGTAATAAAGCTATTCCTAATTTCAATATGTATAACTTAACAGACAACAACATTGAAATGCTATAAATGTCATATATATTAAATAGTAATTCATTATTATACTCTGTGAATCTAATTTCGTGTGCAGGACGTGTCGAAGACTATTCGGATGGTTTCGCCCTAAACCTAAACCTAAACCTAAACCTGTTGATTATTACGAAGACTGTTGTCAAGGATGGACAGATAAAGGCGCACTGGGATGCCTAAAAAGTACGTGTTTCTAATCTTGTTTTTGTGCCCGTGCGAGCAAATTCAAAGGAGGGTCTCTCAGGAGAGGGTTCCCTGTTCCCATGTTTATTTAAAAGTTTTTCGTCGTTTCCTTGTTCTCAAAAAATGATTTCACCCTTTTCCCTTCTTCCCTAAAACACTTGGGAGACCCTCTTAGATGGCTGAACATGCAAGTGACAATTATCGTCTTGGCTTTTATCTCAATTAATTCCAGGAAAATATAATGCACTAATTCCTTATAAGGTTTGCGGCAATGACAGTTTCATGCCTCGGTTTTTACGAATTAGGGTCAGCGGTTAGGGTCAGATTTCTGGTCAAGATGATGGGCCATGTTTAGCATTATAAACATATAGATATCGAGTGATGAATCTATGACCGTTCCCGTTCCCAGTGCATGTGAAGAAAACTGCGGAAGTTCGGAGTGCAGGTAGATTTTATTCTGCTTATAACTTGGTATTGTAAACTAAATAGTTGAAATTACAATATTATATCACCGTGGGCGTGGTGATTAACAACTTGTACACCGATTATCATGAATTTGTTGGGTTTGGGAGAATCACTATCTCTCAATCTGTTTTACCGAAACCGTGGTATTGATCGAAACCAAATTACCTGCAAAATGCCACAACATAAGTCATTCGCGGCAAAACTTAATTGGCTGTGTCAAAAATAGGTTATTATCAGGAAGACTTTTAAAATTAAATTTTGACAACAAACACGAAAAATGCAGTATTCTAGAAATGTACTAATAAAAAGTTAGCATTTTTGACCGTGGAACTTCGACTTTCGACCCTCGACCTCGGCTTTTAACTGAACCTGACATGTATATAGTACAGCAAAATATTTCCTCCATTAAATTGTTTTTCTTTTTCGCATTCACTCGATTATATTTATCTATAAATCCAACATCACCAAATTTTTGCCGTCATTACTAATAACCACGGACCTCCTGCTTAATCGTATATGTTTCCATGTGACCATAATTATGCTAGGAGAAACTTTCGTTCTTGAGCAAGCGAGTCCCGCCACAATACTGAAGGCATCATGCATGCGTGCAAGCGTTTACTCAGTGGCGAAAATCTTGGTGGGGCGGGGGTGGGAGGGTGCTCGGTCGCCCACCAAACCTTCGTGGAAAATGACGAATTTTCGGAAATTTTGACCTTTAAAAGGGCTAAAACAGCCTTTGGGGGGGGGGGGGGGGGTTGTTGTCGGAAATTCGAAAGTTTTGTCGGAAATTTAGAAGGCTTCGCCCTTGACTGCACACTAAAGTGTTCTTTATGAAACTGAAGTGCCTTTTGGCTTTATCGATAATAAAACTTTGAGTTTGAAATAAAATGATTTCAAATTCTCGCATGCAAATAACCTTGCTTTCTTTCCTATTTAAAAAAATTAATATAATAAAAAGGGTATAGTATACAGTGAAATTATATGCTGCCCTGTTTCGTTTATACGCAACGTTTATAGTATTATACGTTCGGCTTTTAAAGCAATTATAAAGCAAACAATTACATTAATATTTAAAACAAACTTACCTCCGTTAACAACGGCGCCTTTGCCCCCTTCTTTTAGCCGATGCTTTCGCCGGTTAGAACGACCCGACGCTGCGTAAAGAGTTAAAAGAGAAAGATTTATTTAATTAATATAACAATACACTAAGCTTTTTTTATTTTTATCCTTCAAGGAACTTGCATTGCGTTGCCACAGAAAGTACCGCAAATGTTAGGGAAACGCCGGGTGTGTCCAATTAAACGTTTTTTTAACCTGGTCGAACAAAATACTTTTTATAAGCTAACCACGCCCGTTAGTAAACCGTTAATATATCCCAGCGAGACAACGAACCTCTTCGAAGCTGTACCTTTTCCATTGTTGAATCAACCATCTCACAATGTGATCATACGCAGCGTTCTTTCCCCTATCCTCGATGAGCAAGGATGGGTGACTCGATACCTTGGTATGAGCCTACGAAACGAGCAACTCTTGGCAAAAACAAAAAAACCTGAAAATCTTAAACCATTTACAAAGTATTCAGACTACGGGCAGTTGTTAAAAAGTTACCGCAAGGAGCAATCGAAACCTATAGTTTCCATTAAAATCCCTGGATTGGTAAGCATCATGCAGTTTTTAGTAATCTAATATCACTAGTCTTTTTGTGTGTTATATGCAAATCAGTCTTAATGATTGCAGAGTTTTATAAAGTTTTGTTGACACTCTTTTACATCAGCCACTTCCCACCGGGCACACGACGTTGTTTCAACGTTCAAATTTGGTAGAAAAAAGGTTGCGACGTCGACAACCTAATATCTACGTTGCTCTGACGTTGTTTTACAAACATTGGTTCAACAGCAGCCAACAGACGTTGAATCAACGTTCATTCATGGTTGAATGTACGACGTCGATTTGTGAAGTAATCTCAACGTTGTTTCAACGTTGAATTATGGTTGACGAGATTGGCAACCTAATTTCAACGTTGTTTCAACGTCGAAACAGTAGCGTCGATAAATTTGCATTTTCAATCTTTTTTTCAACGTCTATGCAACGTCTGGAAGGTCATTTCCGACGTTGATTCAACGTTGAATAAACGTCATTTTGCCCGCTGGGTTGTCGTGCCAGCGACAACTAACGACCAAATGGAAACTAGGCTTAAGACGAAGATTGACGAGTCGAGTTTATTTTAGATAATTTAACATTCAATTTTAATTCCCTCTTGGGAATTGTTTATGTTTCGTTTTCCATGCAATTCCCAACGGTGGAAGAATGTGATTTCGACCGGCAATTTCTATTTGACGAGTATGTGGCCATTTCTCATCGTTACGATTTAAAAAGAGTATCATTGAAAAGCTAATTAACTGCTCTTTCGTCTTTTGTAAAAATTTAATTGTTTAGCCACGTTTATGATGCCATAGCATTTTTTTGAGACACCCTGTAGATTAATCCCTAATTGTACAAGCAACATCCTATGATTACTTGTTTATTATTTAATAGCATGCATGCATGACAAAATTGGATTAATGATCAATGTCAACATATTCAATCGCCAAAACCTAGTCCTGCGAGACTTTCAACCAAAATTTGGTGCTTTCGTTCGTATTTTCATTTATTTCTTTTGCTTTAAGTTCCTCTGGTGTTTAAATATATACCTTTCCGCCATTTTGTTTGTTTTAGAAAAATCTTTAATTGTACTGCAGTGAGTGCAGAGTGACTCATCGTGCATTAAAAATCGCCGTATTTTCGTGTTCCTGCAATTTAGTCTCATTTTATCTTTTTTCATATTTCTTCATTTCTTGTAAATAGTTACTTTTATGTTTCACGCCCTCGTAGAAACAAGCCTCCCAACGGTTGTTGAGGCTAGCGTGCTTAAATGAAGTTTGTGTATATGTAATGATACGTCATTGTTGCCATAGCAACAGCAGTTACAGTACATAACTTACGAATTCAAACTCGGCAAGTAGGAAAATTTTTATCTGATTTTCACTACAAGTAATTTCCAAAAATGCGGATCTAAATCGTAATTTATTTTTTTCAAATTCTACTCAGCCACCTTAATTGAGAAACGAACTTGGCAACTCCGATCCCAAACTCCAAGACTCGCAACTCGCAGATTCTCAACTCGAAAACTCGCAACTCGAATACTAGATAAACTCGTTTACAAATAGTTATTATGGACGTCAATTCCGCCCTGTTTCAAAATTAATTTTCAAAGTTAGTTCCTCAAACATTTTTAAAAATAAATCTGAACATGTGGTTTGTTTGCTCGTTCGTCCGTTCGTTCGTTCGTTCGTTCGTTCGTTCGTTCGTTCGTTCGTTCGTTCGTTCGTTCGTTTGCGATAGTTGATAAATTAGTAAAATCATTCGCAGTATTTTTTTCTTCGAATTTATTCAACAATTTATTTTGCAGAAACAAACCTTTAACCTTTTACCCATGGCAAAATACATGAAGTACCCCTCACAAGAATTGCCGTTTAGAGATATCACTGAGAACGAAGCCTGGCAAAGTGACGATGTGTTTACGCAGCAACGCCTGGCAGGTTTAAATCCAATGGCTTTGAGAAAAATGACGATAGAAGGTGAGAAATATAAAGGCATATTTGGAATAATGGGATAAAATTGAATGGAAAGAATCCTTACAATATAATGGATAGAATATAATAGAATGAAAAATTATTTTTATCAATAAATATTTCAAACCAATTTCAGACAAATGTATTATATAAGTGAGAAAAATCAGTGTTATTACTGACGAAGGTTCAATTACTATAAGAGAAAATTACTTATGTCTATGTCGAGTATCATTAATTCATACGTGATCACGATTTATGCATTTCTGTTGTTATAATAATAGTACTACTGAATTACTGAACTTTTATTATGAATGGACATTTGCATGATGGCTTTGACACGTTGTTAATAACATTTATATCACTTGATGTTTGTCCCAAAATTGAAAAAAATAACAATTGTTAAATAACTATGCATACTAAAGGATGATTTGGAAAACGTGTTGATATTTCAGATTTTAATCAAGATTACGTGAACAAAAACTACGATTGGGACGCGGCAATGCAACGAGCATTGGGGAAAACGTCTACATTTTCTGAGGTAAACGAGGAAAAAATATATAACGACAAATGCACTAACTACAGTGATATATCATCAACGATCCACACTCCAATCATGCAAATAGCTGATCCATGCTAAACGCTTTTAATTAAGATCTATAGATCTTCTGTTAAAAATTTAAAGCAACTCGATCTCATTAAAATATAGTGCCCGAAGCAATTCCTTTCGCCATTCCTTTATCAATTACATTGAACGGTATTTACCGAGATACATCAAAACGTTGTATCCAGCGAGCGCGATGGCCGATCACAATCACAAATTCATACATCCTTCCTTGGGAAAAATATTGACCGCTGTACATCGGCAATTCTACGCAATGCTATCCTGGGCATATCCGAGAAATTCGGAGGCCCGGGGCAAATTTTTATTTCGGGGCCCTTATTTTTCCCAAAAATGTTGGCGAGCTGACGGGGGGGGGGGGGGGGGGGTGGGGGGAGGTGGTGTGTTTAAAAAATATTTTCCGGACATTTAAAAAAGAGTCAAAAAATTATTCTGGACAAATTCATATTAAAACATGGGTAAAATCATTTTTTTCAGACCAATATCTGTAAAATTTAGGTCTAGAAATTTTTTCTCGCACCATTATTTATATCAAAAAAAATTTCCAAATATAATTATTTGTTTTCTAATTTTGCAAATTTTGGGCCCCTTAAACTGGGGTCCGGGGCAAATTTCCCCCTCCCCCCCTCTGAAAGGCCATGATGCTATCCATCTCTGACTTGAACAATTGCCATTTTATAAACATTATACTATTATATTATAGTAACCAAAACTTTTTTGGCATAAACGTTGACCAACACATTGATCATGAATTGTATTGTACAGTTGAGTCGCCATTGCGGAAGTAATCTTTATGCTTCCATTTCAAGTAACGATGAACCGTTTTTTCTTTCATGTGCTCAGATGATCGATTCAGGGAAAGTATTCATACTAGAATACAAATTGCTTTATGGTATTGTTAACGTTGAAGATTACACCGAACGAAATGCTACAGACAGGCGAGAAATGAGAGGATCCCGAAGTCCGTTCTGTACGTTTGTTGTAGCAAACGTAGGAGGTGTTAAGAAATTGAAACCAGTCGCGATTCAGACGGACTTATCTTCAGGTAAAAATGCTGTGCTGAGTGGTTATATTACTACCTTAAAAAACAAGCAGAAACTCGACGTTTCGAGTGAAGGCCCTTCCTCAAGAGTTAGTAGCAGGGATCGGGGAAATAGCACGGGCTTTTATACAAAGGGTATGAAAGCATCACGTGCATGACAAAAAATAAACCGATTAGATGATTTAATCATAACAAAGTATAATATAATAAAATATAAAAATATACAGGAAGCTAAGACAATTGCTACAAAAAATAATCAAAACAAAACAAAACAAAACAAAACAAAACAAAACAAAACAAAACAAAACAAAACACAAGTGGGAATAAGGTAAGAAATAAAAACGCTTTTGCATCAACATTTTACTCGGTATAAAACTAAAACTACATAGTCATAGTAGAAAGCGTGGATGTCGGAAATTTTCAAATATTTAGTTCCAAAAAGCTGAAGCCTTATTTATCAGTTTATTGCCGAGCTGTTTTCCAAGACCTGCAAGGATATAGTAGTCAGCTCGCTCGAACTAATATGCCAACATCAGGCAGAAATTGAAGACAATAGCCGGTGTGTCAGACGCAGTTGAAGCGAATAGCTGTCTCGAACAAACTATTAACATGACACGAGGACCGAGGAAGAAGAAATCCTATTCAGAGCGCCGACTGTTGTCTCTTTAGACTCCTGGAAAAAGCCATCGAGCTATGGTTCCCCGAATAAGGCATAGTTTACGCTTAGAATTCCATCATGTGGATATTTCGACAAAAACATACCGATTTTTCTCCGTATTTATTCAAATTTATATAAAACTGCAAATAACGAAATTTGCGTATTTACATACCTGTAGCGGACAACCGGAAATATGCTACAACCGGAAATAATTTTAATTGGCTGATATTCTGGGGGTGGAAAGCCCGTAGAGGCGAATTGTGTCAGGCTCTCTTCAATACCGAGAGCCTGATACTCAGGTTAAGTTTGGATATGAGGCGCATTTCATGTCGTTTGCGGCTATCGTTGCTCCCAGAAATGGGACAGAGGGCTTGAATTACCATATCCGAAACACCGTGATTGGCGTTATCAAAACGTCTGGCAACAGGTTGGTTAGCATCGTTGCCAATAACTGCACGCCGATGCTCACCAAACCATGTCCTTAAACATCTTCCAGTTTCCCCCAATGTAAAGCATGCCACATCTGCTGCAAGAGATGCAGTAGATGAGATGGGAGGAGGCCGACGTGAAATGGTGCTTGATGTGTTATTCAGATTTAGGTGCCGAAACAACGATAGTTTATGTTCAGGTAAACTTTCGTTTATTCATTCTCAGTACAGACACTGTTACAGTATTTAAAACATCCTGGTTAATATAAAATTAATGCAGTTTGGGGTAACTTAATAATGGCCTGGTTAACTTCCATGGTTAATTTAACCACAGTCCTGGTCAATTTAATCACTATCGTGGCTAATTTAACCAGGATTCCTGCATAGTTAATTTAACCTGGCTATATACATGGTTCATTTACCAGGAATTATTGGTTAATAGTCCACCTAACATAATCTGGTTAATTTCACCCATATAGACTGGTTAAATTAACCAGGAATCCTGGACTATGAACATATTAACCAAGATTGCGGTTAAATTGACCACTAGGAAATTTAAACAGGAACATTAAGTTACCCCAAACAATGTTCATTCAAGATTAACCTCGACATTTTTTTACAACGGTATTTTTAAAGGACTTAAAAACAAGACTTCAAACACTCATTAGTAATTCATAAGCTTATTGGCAAATCATGTTAACTATAATATGTCACGTGCAGTGGCTTTAAACCTGATAAAACACTCCTAATTAGTATTCTTTATATAAAGAATACTAATAAGGCAGTATCTATTGTAGTCGTGTCCTCATTAGTATTTTTTATATAAAGAATACTAATAAGGCAGTAAATCTATTGAATTTGTAGTCGTGTTTTATTAGGTCTAAAGCCACTCGCGCTGCGCGCTCGTGGCTTTAAACCTAATAAAACACTCCTGCTCGTTTGTTAAACAGTACGTTAACTCAGTTAATTGACATTGATAATAATTCCTATGATAATATTGGATACATGACGAAGTATCTTGATCCAGTCCGATAGGAGTGGATCAAAATTGATTTTGTCCTAGGACTGCATGAAAATAAATTCACCTCACTTATAAGTAGTGATTTATTCGTATGAGATATTAAATTTCGCCTCGATGTCATATAGTCGGATTTCGATGTCATATAGTCGGATTTGATGTATACATATGGTTTTTCTTATTTTCCCATTACGTTTCCGCAGATGCGCCAGTAGTTTCTCCTATTGACGGCTCGAAATGGTTGATGGCGAAGGAAGAAATTCAACGAGCGGATATAACGTATGCCGAAGTTATCGAACACCTGTTGAAAACACATTTTCTCATGGAACCAATCTGTGTCATCATGCGACGCACTTTATCGTTCTTTCATCCTCTTCATCAGACATTCAAATGGCATTGTAGAGGTCTGTTTGTCGCAAACAGTCTTGGAGTACAGGCTCTCCTAAAACCTGGGCAAATTTTACATAAGTTGTTTGCGATTGGCCATGTCGGTGGAGTGGAACTTCTCAAGAAAGCTTACCCCAGTTTGTCGTGGGCGGATACAGAGTTTGATAAGAACCTTGAGGTAATATATGCAAACAGGTTTCTCAAACAAAAAGACAACGCTTCCTCGGGAAAATTAAAAAAAGTTTAGGCTCGGAAATGTCATTTCAAACTCCTCTTGGTACCGAATTGAAGAACTTGGAAGGTTGTGTTCTGCGGACAAAAAATTGCTTTATAATCTGTTTTCGTGGTTCGGATGACTTCATGGGATTTGCAATCACCACTGAGCAAATGAAACATAATTGAACTACTTGGCGATAGTAAAGACATCAGGCTTTTCGAACAAGACCTATTTCGAATCATTAAGCTATCTTAGCTGTAATATAATACGGGTTCTGAAGCTATACACAGTTGTTTTCTACCTCCTCTGCGCTTTCCGAATGCCTCGCAACATCCCACGTGCATAATCACACACACTTTGACACGTACGTACATGTATAACGATAAGATTAAGACATTTGGATTGTGAATTTGTACTGTTTGACGCGATAGAAATTTATTCCACACATAACGAACATTTGAATATATTTAGCCCGTTAAAGTACTGCAAAGGTATTAACATGTTGTGTTGAAACATGGTTTTATAGAAACGTGGCGTTGATAGCGTGGACGAGTTACCATATTTCCCATACAGAGATGATGGCTTGCTTATCTGGAAAGAAGTTGGTGATTTCGCTGGGGATTATGTGAGATTGTAAGAAACAATTTTTCCTTTCTAAGTGCCATAAAATGGGAACCGTACCGGGGTGTGCCTACTTTTGCTGGACTGGGAAAAATTATTTTGTTTCTGGGATTGGACATGACAGACACAAAAATGGGAATAGGAAAACGCATATAAGTCCATGGAAAGCTATGGAGCAACTTTTGATTAGGCGCTAATTCTCTAAAAATGTCATGGAAGGCTCATGAATTCTGCCCCTTTCCAGCTCGAGGTCATCTTTCTGCTATTGCGACTCAGTGATTTACTTAGTCGGTCTAGTATGTGACAGAAAATAACAGGCACTTAATATACACTTTAAACATTTTACTTCGTGAAGCTATTTCTAAAGAGAACTGTTGAAAACAGAATATTTAACAATTATTCGCCGAATTAGGCGAGGTGATTATCGGGGAATATTCGCCGAGACGAAATCGAGGAATATTCCCCAATAATCACCGAGCCTGAGGCGAATAATTGTTTTAGCATTTTTACACAAGCTTTATGTTTAATTTCGCTTATTTCTTTGTCAGTAAACTTCCACAAAACGGTAGCCGCCATTTTGAAAATTTAATTCTGTTTTGTTATATTCACCTGTAGGTGAATATAACAGCTCATTTACGTCAAATTTGACCAATAAACGTGTAGGATTTGTTATGTTCACTTGTGCAATGTGTTTTATTGTGGTTCCCTTGAGGACCGTTATCATTGGTAAATTTTTGCTTAATTTAAAAGATAATTCCCATATAATGTTTTCTTTGACTTTTCTATTAATACTGTTTATAGCCAATCTGATATTATAGAGCTGAAAATTTGAATAAGTGCAATCATTACAACCACACGCTCAAAAGTAAAAATGTTTTTCTTATATAATCTTATAGACATTTTACTCACAAATCTCAGGCCTGCAGTACTGTAGAGCGTTCGCCAATTGAGTTGAAGTCACGCAATATAAACTTTAAGACACATCTATGTTATTAGATACTATCAAAAAGATGAGGACGTGAAACAAGATACTGAGCTGCGAAATTTTGCCAACCAATTGTCAGCAGATGGCACGGGAAAGGATGGCGGAATTGGACGGGTAAGATAGTTCCAAAATCAACAACCTGTAGCAGTGGCCAAACTTTCGCCTCCCATAAAATTGCTCCCATCTATACTACGAAATTAAATTGCCGCAATTAGTTTGCAGTGCAATATTATATATTGTAGTCATTACGTGCCTTCTGCGGATCGTCTAATTGCTTAAGCCGGTTTTCCACTAGGCGGAATTTTGCGCGCGGAGCGGAATTTTTCTTTGTCTTGTGATTTCTCGGATGGAAGTAAAGGCCGTTTTCCACTAGGCGGAATTTTCCGCGCGTAGCGGAATTTCTCTTTGTCTTGTGATGTCTCGGGTGGAACTAATTAGAAAAGACAAAGAGAAATTCCGCTCCGCGCGCAAAATTCCGCCCAGTGGAAAACCGGCTTTACAGTTAGAATATGTCAAACACGCAACCTATATAGACAAGCGAGTTACAGTATCTGTGGGTTGAGCCCATGATATGTAATTTTACAACAAGCGGTATCTTCGTATACTAAGACGAAAGAAGAAAAAACAACATGGCTTCATGGATGGTGTAATCCTATCACCTCGTAAATTTTTCGATTGGGAAAGACTGAGTTATCAATTATCGTGTTATGCACGGCTGTTTTGTTGATCGATTATCGTTAAGCTGGTGCAAAATACAACATTAAGATCCTATGTTAGATACTTAAAATATTAGTTATGGTATGGCTAGCAGAGGTGGCCTTTTCAGAGATTTCTCTAAAGGTCTAAGGACATGATGTGAAGGCAATAATTGTTTTACACATTGTGAATACAGTTCATTCCGTACGGTGTCCAAAATTTGGACAAGTTTGAGATTTTGGAAATGGTGTATTTGGCTTGAGAATGAAGATATCATTTTAATTTGTTGGGGAGAATTTAGTAGGAAAAAATTTAACCGCACTTTCACAGAAGCGCGTACATATTTTCATTGAAACTGAAACATTACTTTTTCCTATTTAGTTTAAAGGCTTTCCAGTCAAAATCGAAACAAGATCTCATCTTATCGACGTTGTTAAGCGAATTGTGTTCATCCCTATCCAACACCACGCTGTTAACTATCCTGTCGCGTACTATGGCGCGTTTGCTCCAAATTTACCCACCAAACTTTACGATGATCCACGGGTTCCACCTCGAGAGTTTAGATTCGACAGTTTGCCACAAGCTCATGTTGCTGCGGTAAGATTGAAACAACAACAACGAGAATGCATGCCAACGAGAATGACAAGGACGACGACGACGACGACAACAACAACAACAACAACAACAAGAAGGACGACGACGACAACAACAAACAACAACACCAACAACACCAACAACACCAACAACAACCAACAACAACAACAACAACAACAACAACAACAACAACAACAACAACAACAACAACAACAACAACAACAACAACAACAACAACAACAACAACAACAACAACAACAATTTTTTAGCACATTAATTATTATAGATTAACGCCGTATGGACTAACCGTAAATATGTCTAAAATTATACAGGAACAAGTTTCACTAGCCATGTCCTTGGGGTCATTGCGATATGACGTCGTCTTCGACTACGGCAAATACTTAAATGATAACCGTGCCAAAGCCGTTGTGAACAAGTATTACGGTCGACTTACAGGAGGCGTTAATGACCAAATTACTGCTAGAAATCAGAAAAGGTTGGCAAATGGAAAGTTGAGTTATCCCTACTTTCTTCCAAAATGGATGCCGAATAGCATTCACACATAGTTGTGGAACTATGGAAACGCAATGGAATAAAAACTAATGCCTTGGAAACTGTTATTATTCAGTATTATTACTAAATCATTGTATTAGTTATATTAAGTTTTATGTATTCAACGCAACTGACTGTATTGATTAAATAGATCAGGATAAGTTGCCTCGTTTGTCATGGCAAACTTAACTGTTAGATATAGCCATATTTTTCAACCACATCAAGAGATGTCTTTTCATACAATAACTTGTATACGCGCGCTGATTGGTCAAAAATGTATCGTTATATCGACCGACTGAGAAAATTCGTTCTCGTCAAACGATAATTTTATCATTTTCGTTGAGTGTGGACACCAACATAATTTTTTTCCCAATCTCGCGTGTTTACAAGTTATCGTATAGTTATCATGTAATGCGAACGGGCCTTAAATTAATAATATTCATCTAGACTGACGTTTGTAAACCTATTACACTAAATATACAGTGACGAGTTTCTTTCTTCAATAAATTTTTTGACTACATTCTAGCTTACATGCTTCCTCAAAACATTGAATAGAAAAATAATTGTTGTTAATTGGTTATTTTATCGCTTTCTTTTGTCTTTCTGTGTCGGAGCCATTAAAGTTGCTTGCTTCTTGCGTTGTTCAAAAAGATTGACTTCTTCGTCCTACAGTAACGAAAGCAAAACAGTTGGAAAAGTTACATTCAGATAGCATAAGGTACGTTTACACGCAGCGATTCGTTGTGTAGGAATACGAACCATGCTACGAATCCTACTGTAGGATCCGTATTCTGGCATATGTTATCGAAGACGTTTTTTCCTATGTTTGTTGCAAACCCAAATTTCACGCATAAACAGAATCGATCCGTTAAAGCATACTGTACATAATATCACCGAAAGGAAAAATCGATTTCAATTTCCTTTTGATTGTCCATGGTTAAAGATGGCGATGGCCGTTAAAGTGAAATTGCAGGTAGCCCGCGTGCAGGCCCAAGGGAACTGATAGTCGGCCTGCACGCAAGGCCCGGTATTTTGTACTTTCCGCGTTCGCCCACGAACGCGGCATTCTGATTGGCTGTTTGCTGTTGGATTCTATAATTAGGTCAGTGATTCATCACAAAGGCTCTCGATAAGCTCAAAATTCGAAAATTGATCACTTTTTCGATTATAAATGGAACAAGAACAGACTGTTTATTGTTTACTTGAAGGAAGAGATGTTTTTGCCGTTATGCCAATGGGGATTGCTTGTCGTGAGGTGTTGGAATAGCAACATTACGACTGGGGTAAACTATAGTAACCTTTACTTGAGTTTCATTAATTTCAAACAGACTTGATACGTTATATGTTCCTCAAGAAAATTATCTTTTGGTTGATGTTGAGATGCAGTTGCATGTAAGCTTATTCGAAACACTTTGCGATTTACAAGGCTTCGCTGAGAGAGCGAAACAGAAGACGGTATTATTAAAATTGCCGTTTGAAACGAAACGATCTGGACTCTGAACGCTCTCTTCTTTTGTAGAGTTCTTTACCAAATGAAATAACTGAAATAAATTTCGTACTTTCCGCCGCCAACAAGAATTGCACACACGATCTGATAAGTGAGACAATTTATTTATAACAATGGCGACAGTGAAGCACACATTATAAATGCTAATGTGGTCGCACGACTTCCCTCACGATTTGAAGTTTGAGACTGCTTTTCTGTTGAAATTCGATTTTAGTTCAAAATGAGCACTTGCAAGTTTGGCAATTACTGACTGCGTTGCTTACTTTTTTGGAGTTAAAACGCAGCCATTTACACATTGTTTATGTGCAGAGAAAACCCCGCAACATTTTAATGCGAAGAAGAGATGTTTGTTAATATTTGGCGAGTTTGTTTGTTTGTTCGTTCGTTCGTTTGTTCGTTTGTTCGTTTGTTTGTTTGTTTGTTTCGGCGAGTTTGTTTGTTAATATTTGGGTGCTGTCATTAGTTCTTTTTTGACAATTGACGCGCAAATGGGGTGTGTTATGAAAAAGGGCGTTTTACAAAATACCGGGCCTTGCTTGCAGGCCCACTATCAGTTCCCTTGGGCCTGCACGCGGGCTAAATTGCAGGTTGCCCTTCAGTATTTCAGGCAATAACTGTGACGCCATCGCCATGTATAATTAACAGCTGAATTATGTAAGTAAAATGTCCGTTTTGGCAAAAACGACACGTACTAAAGATAGGGTACAGTTCAATCTACGCATGCGCACATAGGAGTCTCCTCCTGCCATCTCCTGCCGTGATTTAAATCATGGAACCGAGGAATCGATTACATTTTGGCTTAATCGTTGCACCCTGAGCCTACTACGAAAAAAAACAGAAAAAGAGGGATTTAAGACACTTGGCTTACAGGCCAGTGTAATTATCTGTATTTTTGATGGGGAGCTTAAAGGTAGGGTATATCTCACAGAAAAGCTCGGATACATTATACAGATGTTTGGTAGTATAGTAAGTGCTTGTTGACCGCAAATTCATTTATCTTTCGTTGCAAACTTTTCTGAACAATTTATATTCTCAATGAACATGTTTATTTCGCGGTTGTTTCGGTATTAATTCTTTAAAAAAACTTGCATTTAAACTAATTTATATGTAATAAATGTATTTTGCTAACCTGTCAAATTTTTTTGAGAGTTTTTCCTTGTACTATTATCTTTCTCAAAGCGAATATTTTCCTTTTTTCTGCTTCGCAAAACTCATGTAGTTTCTGGACCGCCATCTTGTTTTTCGCTGCTCGCCGTATATAAGCTGATATACGGCGAGTAATTCAACCAATCAGATTGCAGAACAGCTCATATACGGTGAATGACTATATTATAAGTAGTAATATAGGGGCCATTCGACCCGGATTTTCAGGGCGTCGCAGGACAGCGCAGGGGCGCCGCATCATTAAAAATTCAGGGTGACGCATCATTAAAAATTCAGGGTTGTGCAGGGCGGCGCATCATCATTAGCATAGAATGAGGTGGCGCATCATCATTAGCATAGAGTGAGGTGGTGGATCTCATGTGGGGTGTGTTCACTTAATATATGCAATGACGTCACGCGGGCGAGCTTGAGCAAGATCGGACAAAACTTGCTGACTAGACATTTTTAGCGTCCCTGCACGTGTGTGATACAATAGAGGGATTAAGATTGGTTTACTATGATTGGTCCGAGTCCCTCACATGGCAAAATTGTTATCGAAATTAATATATAGCAGAGTTATAGCCGTATCTTTGCTCGGAAAAGAAAAATTTCCACAGGTATATTGAAGGATTTTTCGTATGTTTACAAAATTATAGCGAGGAATCCATTCGTCACAAAAATCGAGACATATTTTAAACAGAACTATACAGTTGCTAATCCCGGGTTAACATGGTTGTCAACGTCGTTGTTATGGTCAATATTTACATGTTGTTCGACATTATTTGACAAACCTCCTACATACATACACTGTTAAGATGACCGAATCAGATCATAAAAAAGCTTATCAAGAATACTTGAAGGAAAAAACCTTTTAGAACAGTTGTAATATATTTTGCCATAAAAAACAAATATTTTTTTAATCAGATATGCGGTCGTTATATACGTAGCTATGTGTTGCCAGTCATTAGCGACGCTTGGGTGCATGCATATATTAAAGTACAACATAGTTGTACACCAATCGGGCGGGCGGGTTAGGCAAATCGCGCGGGCGGAAAGAGCGGGCTGCAAAGGCAAAAGCTTGCACAAGATTTCAGTTTTAAAATACATTTATTTCTTCAAAACGTTTTAGAAAATTTAGTACGGTCTACTTCTAATATATATTGTCACTTGTTTGAGAAGTTTCGCGATCAGATTCATCGTCGTGGCTGCTTTCATCTGCCATAATCCATTTGGTATGTCTTGGGACTGCTATATGAGAACACAGTTTTGACCTCTTTGTGGTTGATAAATTACTGCGTTGGCCTTGCCTTCTCTTGCTTCCGCGCCCTGCTTGTTGTAGTAGGGCTTTTGCTCCTTGTTCGGCAAAGTCTTTAACAACGTCACCTCCGTGAGTCTTTACAGATTCTCTAACATTTTTTCCTTGGAGTACATCTTGACCAACTTCTGTGGCTGCTTGTAATGCTCTTTTGCCAACAACTTTAGCACCTTGTTTGAATAGAGGGATAGCATATCTCGCAAGGCTCTTGAAAATACCTCCGATCCCATAACCTCTTTGAAAACGTGCACCACGATACCCAATGATACTCACACCACGTTTTTGTCTCATGAAATGGTCTCTCAGTTTTTCGTCTACAACAAGTGTACCTCTCGGCATGTTGATGTGTTCAGTTCAACTTCACCCAGTCAACTGATCAAATATCACTTTGTTCGCCTATTTTACGGTTAAAAGACTGCCTTTCATCCGTTCTGATATCTATAATTTCACCTCGGCGACAATGTGGACAGCTGGTGATTACATGCGTGAAATCTCCTTTGGACACTTGAAAATCACAGATCATACAGCGACACCTTTTACAATTCGGATAAAATCTGTCCATGTGCATACAGGGCACGTACTGAAATGGGAGATGTATTAACTGTTACAAGTTGCGTCAGCATCAGATTGTGTATCCTGACGGAACCACTTGTGGGCCAATCTCGTTCTCAGAGTATGCCTGTTCGCGGGTTAGGTAGTGGCATGACTCTGGGGAAATCGAATCGAAATCGTTATTTGATTGGCTGCCGTGATCATCAATGCTGCCGACACAATTAATGCGTGTTTTTTTGCGAGAATTACGCGTGGACATACGCGAAGAGAGAATTATTAATGTTTATCAGATTTGGAATGCGAAATCAAACAATATAAATCGAAGGATATAATATTAATCGTATGAAAAAGTATTGGGACGTTGGGTATATACTTACAAAATGGCATGGTATTTATGAATGACTTTTTATTGATCTACAGTATGAGTATATTCATTATTGTATGTGGAAACGACGGCGTAACAAGTTTCGTATTTAATATTCCATGATAACCATGAAAGAATTGGCTAAATGAAATCATTGCACACGTTGTCGTTGTTTTGTTAAATTGACATATTGTTGCCAGGACTTTGGAGTGACAGCTTTTGCTTGTGTTAAAAACTTGAAGCTTTAAACAATACAGTTGTAGCCCGTGGTCTTTTTGTAAAAGGAGTTATCATTATAAATTTAAGATGCCAGGTGTTTTTGTAGCATCTGTATAAATTATAAAATAATTGATTTAAGAAGTTCCTCAGGTTGTAAAACATTTAGTTATAGACTTGCTTTGTAAATGATTGCCACTTGACAGCATGATGGGCTATTCCATTTAATATCCGTACCCCCACCCACACACCTTGTCGAGGATACATGTTTTTCATGGTTATACCCCAGAAGAATTCCAAACTCAAAACCTTTTACCCCTGAAGAATTCCAAAATTCCAAGCTCAAAACCCTTTACCCCTGAAGAATTCCAAACTCAAAACACTTTACCCCTGAAGAATTCCAAGCTCAAAACCCTTTACCCCCTGAAGAATTCCAGGGATCCTCGACAGGGGGATAGATAGATAGATTAGACAGATTATTTAATAAGATTTTACATCGCAGCCCAAAAAAGCTGAATTGCGTAAAATTTACAAAACATATAAATTAACTGTACGTTATAAAGTCTATAAACACATGCATATACATATACACACATACAAATACTAACAGTACACATATTTTCATACATAAACATTACGATCTTTAAGGTTCAAGTTAGACTTATGTTATGAAAACAATTCATAGCAAACCTATTTCTTTAAATTATTTGACATTGCGGAAATATAAGAGTTTCTAGAACGATTGGTTCGTATAGTAGAACAATCAAACGCACGTTCTCTCCTCAGGTTGTAAGTGGGATCGTGTTTGGATGGCAGTAGTTGATAAACCTTGCGGTCTGAGTTGGATACTATTGTCTTGAAAAGTTTTTCACACAGTTTCTGACGCCTGTCTTTGAGAGAACTAATATTATGCTTGTTAAGATTGTTTGTATAAGATGACCCAGGAGATATAATTGAAAGCGCTCGCTTTTGAATGCGTTCAAGGTCGTTACATAAATATGCAGGTAATGAGTGGTGGAATACAGGTGCACAATACTCGAGAACTGGTCTGATGCAAGTACAATACAATTTTAAGATATGGTCAGCAGGAATGCTTGCACGCCTAAGCAAAATTAGGAAATACAAACGTTTGTTAGCTTTCTTCACGACATAGTTGACATGGTCAATCCATTCCAGTGAGTTAGACACCATGACACCCAATATCTTCGCACTGCTGACTAGCTCGAGTTCTTTGGAATTGATGATGGTCTTAAGCTGATGTTTCACTTTCTTAAAGTCAACTATCATTTCCTTACACTTGTCTTCGTTCAACTGGAGCTTGTTGTTTTTACTCCATTTCTCCATTACTCTGCATTTGGCATTGGCTATTTCTTGGGACAACCTCGGTTAATGTCGTGTCGTCTACGTACTTCCACGAGTGCCCTTCGGATGGTTTAAGGTCATTGATCATGAGAAGAATTAACCATGGTCCTCATTTCGTAACCTGTGGAACTCCAGATGGAACTGCACCCCATTCGGAGAAGCAATCGTTGGACAGTTTGACGCGTTGCAGATTGTTCGATAAAAAGTCGCATACCCAGCGAACTACACTGCGTGGAACATTCAGGGAAAGGATCTTTTTAACTAAGATCCGGTGATCGATGAGATCAAATGCCTTCCTGTAGTCTAGCAACACCATCCTTACTGCTGCACCTGTCCCGTCAGTGGCAGAAGCCCATGTATGAATCATGGAAATAACGGCATGCGTAGTAGATGATTTTGGGATAGCGCCATATTGGTTGGGATCAATGATCTCAAGGACGGCAGGGCCAATATAATATCTTACGATAAAGTCCTCAGCTAGTTTTGATAGAGACGGAGTTAGCGAGATAGGTCTGATGTGCTTGGTAATTACAGTCACAGGTTTCGTCTTTGGTAGTGGTGTTACATTGGCGTACTTCCATGACAGAGGGAGGGATTGTTCAGCAAATTAACTGTTCAGGATAACACAGACTGGGTTCGTGAGAAACTCGGCATAATCTTTAAGGAGCCAGTTCGGCACGCCGTCTGGACCAGAGGCTTTTCGAGGATTTAGCCTTACTAATGCTGAGTAAACTGAAGACTCATCAAGCGTTAGAACTTCCGCATCATTATCAACGGGAGGAAGACTGTCAAGTGATTGATATTCCTGCATGCATCGGTTCTAGAAGGGCAGTATTTATAAGGTTGGCAATATCCTTATTTGACTTTCCATCAAGTCCATCAACATGTAATTGGGCGCGAATACCCTGAGTAATATTCCACACCCGGGATAACGTCCTTCAATAGTTGTCAATGTTGATGTCAAGTATTCCAACATCGCCTTATCGCTGGCACCTTCAGGGTAATGAGTATGGTACACAGTGCCAATAATGACACAGGGAATTCCTCTCGGTAGTCGTGCGGGTCTAATGTAGGTCCAAAGCACCTCGAATTCTTGGTGGAATAAGTCAGTGAGGGCTTTGAACATGACGGAGTTTTTTATATAAGGCCCGACACCCCCGTGAGGACCAGACGTACGGTTCTTTAGCAGTAAGTTGAAGCCAGGAATTTTAAGGTGATGCTCGCTAACAGAGTCATTGATCCAAGTGTCAGTTAATGAAATTAAATCCGGCTTTGTATTGTTAACAAAACATCTCAACTCGTCGATCTTTGGTGCAAGAGACATCATATTGGCAAGGACAATGGATGGACCAAACTCCTTATTTGAACAATTGCCAGTCGGCTGTTTGTTCGGTGTATTCGGACCTGGATTTGTAGCGATATCTCCAGCAAGAAGAATGCACATAACTAAATGTAGACTTTTATGTTTTAGGTTGAACTCCAAGCCATAAAAACTTATCTTGAGTTGATATCCATATAAAACCAAGCCTGTCAGGTAGTAAGGTTAGCTCGGATGATATAAAGAAATTTTCCAAAGTTGTTTTATCATCCAAAAACACACGCTGCAGTTTAGTTCTTGTAGGTAGACAGGAAATCATGGTGATAGTGACAAACCAAATGAGAATATTGTTCAAAATGCAGATATATCGTGCCATTTCTTACTGTAATTTTACCAGTTTGAAACAAGGAAGTTGAATGTTCTAATCTTTCTTTTCAATGAGTTTTGGAAATCGGAAAATACCAATTAGGATAGTTTAATAACTTCTAATTAGGATTTCGCGTTCACTTAAAAATTCTTGAATGTTCCACTGAGGTACGGATACGGATATTAAATGAGGGTACGGATATTAAATGGAATAGCCCGATGTAAGGCTATAACTAAGCCAAACCTGAAACAATTTTTGCATCAATTTGTGTCTGGATAAAAAATAAGTCGTGAACTTAAATACAGATGTGTCCTTGTCTGTTGCTATGTGAAAAAATGTTGTTTATAGCAATAAGAGTCATTGTTGATCAATAACAATGCTCATTTGCTAAAAATATACAAGCATTGATTCCATTTCCAAACTATTATACTATGTGAATATATTGGCAATTAATCCAATTATATATAAAAGGAGATACAGTTGAATTGAAATAGTTTACCAGTTACTACTTACTACCAGTTTCAATCAAATAACTACTTTAATTTCTGTATCAAGCCTCCTGGGTATTATTGTTTCCTAAGCATCATTGAGGGGGCACTTGTTCTAAATATATGCAATAAGTCTGGTTACCATTAAAAAATGTCCATATTCAGAGTTACCGTTGTACTATATTTTATTAAAATACTGCAGAAATGCAATATATTTCATGATTTTAAGAAATTGAATGAGGGACTGCATGGTTAAAAGAGGAGGGGGAGCTTATTTATTTTTGATTTTTGTATCCAAATGAGGGGGGGGGGCTTTTTGATTTTTGTATCCAAATGAGGGGGGGGGGTTATTGGAGAGAGGCTTGAAGAGAAGGGGGCTAAATATAGAAATTACAGTACCACTATTCCTTCCTCTCCCTTCCCAAACATGCTGCAGGAGAGGGGCAACTGCAGGGGTTAAAGCCTGGATTGCAAGGTTGATGTATAATTTGCATGTTATGTACCTGGTAATATGGAGAAATGAGCTAGTAAATATATCCTTGCCTATAATTAGTTGCTGATTAAATGTTCAAAGATACACAGTGTGAAGCATGAAAACAAATCAAAAATACACACTGCAAGAAATTTTCAACAAATATATATGGATTTGTTCACTTCATTTCTTACTTTCGACACAAGTAATTATAGTAATCATAATTACAAACACGATGTACTGTCATTTAAAGACTTTATATGTGCTCCATGTATATATATTAATGTAATATAATATAAAAAACAATGTGTTTACTTTTAAAATATATGATATATAATACCGTACAAGCCCTCGGCTTATATTCTTTTGTAAGCGATTTTTGATGGGCTTAGGGGGGGGGGCTTATATGCACGAGGGCCTTATACATGGACGATCAATTGTGTTAGTAATAAACAAGTCATAAACAGGAAAATAAACATGTATTAATATTAAAACACACTTCAATTAACATATTCAGCTATAAAGACAATGGCAGTGTTTTTAATATTGGTCTCGCTATGTTAAAAGACAATGTCAATGTTAAATAACATAGTGGGATACTGGGCTTATATTCAGGGGACTTATATTCAGGGGGGCTTATATTTGGGGGGGCTTATATTT